ATTGATAAGTTTAGAAGGAATAAGTAACTATCTAGAGTTAAAAACCAAAAAAAGGGATAGAATTTACAGTAGGCAACAAAGTAATTTTCAATAAAAATACTTAAAAGTGATGTTTCTTTTAGACGTTGTGTTTATAATAAACATTTTTACACAAAGAAAAACACTGAGTTGTTCTGTGTTTTCTATTTTCCAATAGTGCAATAAAATAAAAATATCCTATATAATAATTTACTTGATAAACTAATCTCTTATTGAATTTAATTTCTGTAAAGAGCATTTCAGTTGGCAGCTCTATGGCACTCTGAAAGTATTTCATGTCTCTATCTTAAGAATGTGTACTTGAGATAACCAGAACTCATTTATGCTTTAATTTATCTATTTATCAAATACTTAGTGTGTCCCCAAAACTGACTTAGAAGTGCAGCAAGAAACAAAGTGTATAAAATGGCTAGACTCAGGATATTTCCATTCCTGTAGCAGAGTCAGGCAAACCACACATTCATAAAAGTTTCTTATAACAAGCACACAATGGCAGTGAATACAGTGTATGCAGCTTAGGGAACTACAATAAATAAAATATTCTCAGCTAAAAGTGCACATAGGTGGATTTGATCTTATCTATATTAGCAGAATCATGCACATATTTTGCTATAAAATTATGGCCATTTGTTTAAATGCAGACACAGAACTTGTGTTTAATAAAAAGTTGGATGCCTTGTATAATAATGACTTAAGATACATTCTTTTAACTCAAAATTTAATAACTGAATTTATTTTTAAAACATGTTTTTATTGATTTGAGAATTTTATGTAATGTATTTTGATCATATTCAGACCCCTTCGTCCCTCCCTACCCCATCTTACTACTACTCCCTCCAACCTCATAGCCTCTATTAGCATTCGTCATTTTTTTTAAGGCCTATGAAGTCTAATATATGATTCTTAAATGCTCTTGGGTGTGGATCTCTTAGAGTCTGGTCAACCTACGAGACATCACACCAATAAGAAAAACTGTCTCTCCTTCTCCCAGAAGCTATCAGTAGCCAGTAGATCCTTGGCTAAGGTTTGGGCTTCCTGCTGAACTCTCCTGTCTGTGTTGGTCCCTGTCTGGCTTGGGTTTGTTAGGTCTTACACAAGTTGTTGTAAGTGCTATGGGTTCATATGTGCATCAGCACTGTGATGTCTAGACAAAACAGTTTCCTTATATTCATCTACCACCACTGGCTCTTAATCATTCTTTCACTCTCTCTTCTACAAAGATCTCTGAGCCTTGGGAGGAGAGGGTAACTTAAATTTTGAACTTTTATTTGCTTATAGAAAGAGGAATAAAGTTGATACTTAATGCTGTTTACCCGTTGGAAATCTTATTTTTTTTCCACATTATAGACTTGAAATATTTGTGTTCGTTCTTAAGAATTTGTGTTGGAATTTCATTACTGAATCCAGATTAGTGTATTTAAGGACTCAATTTGTGTTAACCCAATAAAAGAAATTGAAATAATTCTGATCATATAATTACAATATCATTTATAATATTACAGAATAAAGATGTTATGTTTTAGAGAATGTATCCAGAACGAAAAACTTCATTTCCTATAAACTCTCTTTCAATGTACAGTATTTTGGGGGATCTACTCTATGTTAAGCATTAATGGATGTGATGATTAGTAAAGCCTAGTCTATGTCCTCATAAATCCCAAAGATAAGGAGCTAGACAGATAATTGCAGTGTTAAGTGCAGTAATAGAGGCAAAGAGAAAGTGCACAAGGCAGCCATGAAATTAGCCTGGATTTTGGGATGCTTCACAATGGAGGTAATTTAGGGACCTTGCTTAGGTGATTGAAGGAAAGTTCACTAGAAAGTTCAAAAAGAGTTCACTGTAGGCACAAAGTCTAGCATGTGTCAAGCCAAGAGGTTGCTAAGTACTGCAGTGCAGCTTTAAAATTCATTTTGTGCAGCGTGGGGGAGATGAAGCAAGACACTGATTGCTGAGATTGAAGTATCTGTGGAAACTTGCTTTTACATAACAAACATTCTAAAACTCTTAAGGATTTTTAAAAGTACAGTGACTGATATCATCAGACCCTGAGGAAGCTCCCTCCAAAAAAGTATGTGTGGATGTTGGTGAGCTGACAGGGAGACTCTGGAGGAAAGATGAGCCGGAAATAAATGAGATTCAATGAAATATTTTAAGTCACTTATGAAGCAGCAAAATGAGTTTGATTTTTAGGAATGTAAAGAGACTTCATAGCTTTGGTAGCCACAAAATTTATGATAGCTATAATTCAGATGAGATCTGGGTAACAGCAGGTTAAGGGCATGTAAGTGAAGGCATATAGTCAAAGCATTAGGCTACCCGGAGATAATAAAATAAATTATGTTTTGTTTTTACTAAAGAATTATTTTATTTAAATATACTGACATTCTCATCACACTGCTAATTTGTCCTTATGGTTTTCAAACGTGACATTCAATGGTTAAACTACAGAGGAAGTTCAGATTACTGTCTTGCTTTATATTACATGTTGTTTATAGTTACTGGATTCAATCTCTTCTCTGTGCTGAGTCCTTCTCTGCTTTGACTCGTTTTCCAGTATTTTTCCAGCCTCCTTCCATTTCTTCCTTCCACATATATACTTTGTATATGCCAGAGAATGTTTTAGGAGTTCAAGATATGGAAGTGAACAGGAAAAAAAGGGGCCTTTAACCTCACAGTTTATAGACCAGTTATTAGACTTAAAAACACAAATAAGGTAATTTCAGCAATGCTAAATGCTGTCATAAACTAAAGTAAACTAAACTAAATGATACTGCTTTTGAGGTAATATCATTGCCTCTTTTGGGTCAAAGGGCCAGCACATGGGGGATACAGTTTGGGGAGAAAAGTAGCCTTTTGTGAGTAGCCATGGGAGACGTCTAAGAGAAGACAAAGGTGAATAAGATTGTGCTTGTGGAAAAAGGCTGAGCTTCACCCCACCAGGTGGCAAAGGTATGAGGACATGAGCTCAGCTGGAGGAAAAGCACTTTAGTTTAAAGCTTTGCAGGATTGAGGCAACAGTTAGCAATTTGTTCCAATGCTATTAGAAACTTCTACAGGGTTTTCATCAGGAAATGGAATAACTGAAATGCTGATCTGGAAACTTGTCAGAGCAAATTACAGATTACCCCGATTACTATGCATAGTTGGTTTCAACAAGGTGGCTATGGAGAATTTTCTGAAATGGAGAGAGTTGGAATTGCTTTAAAGGCTACTCAGAACTTTACTTTTGGACAAGGAAAGTTTTGGCGCCATTAGGACTCCATGCTGCTTATGCAGTTCCTTTCAGTGTTAATTATTCAGTGAGCTATCCAGTGGTAAAATTGGCAGCACCAGAAGGCTAAACGTATAGTGAATGGAATAGGTAAGGACTACTCTGAACTTTGGAAGTTTTACAGCACCTTAAAGAAACATTGCTTTAAAAATACTTAAGGTTGTCTGCACCCCCAGCGGACAGTAGCAGGGATGACAGAGCATAAGGGCTCTAGTTGGGGGAGGGAGGCTATGGGAGGGTGGCATCTGGGAAGCAGGTGTATAGATGAATAAGATGGTTTGGGATGTTCTGTGTGACACACACACAATCAACAAATTTAAAAAAATGAATTATAAAAAAATTACTTAAGGTTGCTGGACATTGTGGTGGATGAATTTAATCCTGCACGTGAGAGGCAGAGGCAGCTGGATCTTTGAGGTCCAGGCCAGCCTGGTCTCCAAAGTGAATTCCAGGCCAGCTGTGGCTACAGGGAGACCTTGTTTCAAAAAGACCAAAGATATATATAGTATGAATCATTACTTGTTAATGAGTTCATGACTGTTTATTTGTTTTAAATATTGATTGGAAATATGCATTATAATTAATCTATTCAACGTCCACCATACTTATAGACTAATTCAAAGAAAATCGAGTTAATAGTTTGTGTATACACACAGACAATGACATTCAGGCATCGAGTAGAATGAACTTTTATTCGCAGCAACATAGTAAAAGTTTTTTTCTTATTCAGTGTACACACATACACACCCACACATTATTCATCTAGTAAATGGAATGAAATCCTGTCATTTACAGCAATGTGGATGGAATTTGAGCATAAATTAAGTGAAATAAGCCAGTGAGAGAAAGACAAGTACTATATACTCTTATGTCTGGATTCTAAAGAATTTAGCCAATTATATAAAAGTAGAGGGCAGAATAGTGGACCCTAGAGGATGGGGAGGGGAGACAGGAATAGAGTTGTTGGACAATGTCTATTAAAGACAGAAAGGAAAGCTGAACATGGTGGCACATGCCTTTAATCTCACCATTCTGGAGGCAGAGGGAGCAGAGGCAGAGGATCTGTGTGAGGTCTAGGCCAGCCTGGTCTACAAAGCGAGTTTTAGGCCAGCTGGGGCTACAGAAAAAAACCTGTCTCAAAGAGACCCTCCCTTTTAAAAAGAAAGAAAACACATTCTAGCATTCTGCAGTACACTGAGATAGATATAGTTTATAACAGTTTGCTGTATATCTTAAAATACCTGCAAGAGAAGTGCTCAAAGATTCACAGTGCAGGACTCTTAATTACCCTAATATGATCATTAAACATTTTATACATATTTGGAATTATGCTCTCACTTGTGAATATATACAACAGTATGTGTCAATTAGAAATAACGTTTTTCATATTCGTATCTCAAATAAGATCTTGAAGGCTGAATCAAGAGCAAACTTCTTAAAAGGTGACTTTAGAAGAGAATATTGCTGAGCATACTATAGAAACTGCAACTATCGTGAGCAATATTTGATGTGTAAGAATAGTAATTAGTGTATCTCATCTACTGTCATTTTTCTTTCTTTACAGATCATGTATTTTAGCTCTTTGTTTCCTTATGTGGTACTTATATGCTTCCTAATCAGAGCCCTCCTTTTAAATGGTTCAATCGATGGCATCAGACACATGTTTACCCCTAAGGTATGTAGCATGTTTCCTGTTAAAGTTCTGATCATAGAAACCTCACTTTATGGTGAAAATGTCTCTATAGCTATGTATAATGATAATTGTTGAAACATATGTACATTATACTTCTAAATTATAGTTATGTTAATCACCCTAGACAAAAGCAAGTTTTTCTGTATCTACAATTAAGTCCACTTCCAATTTTAAACATAATATTTGGGTTCTAGAGTAAGATTAACAGTACTTAAGTTAGACAATTCCTTTCTTTATAATAAGTTACCTTCTGGTTTTACATTGATAACTTTTGGAAATTTTAATATTCATTTACTTATGTCTCTCTATTTAAGTAGTTGATGACCAAATTGTGTCACTGATTTTGTTGAAAAATTGGCAAGAGTATCTTCTTGCTAGAAAACTAAGGAACATACTAATTTACTTCACGTTTCAGAAGGTTGACAAATCATCTAAACTCAATGAACTCTGGCAAAGGACCCTACTGTCTCACAGCGTTTTCTTATGAGTGTTTTGTTTTGGGGTTTTGCCCCTTCTGGAGTAACAGTTATAGTGATTATCTTGGAAAGTTTTATAAGCATGTAAATGTTTCAGAAAAAAAATTTCATTAAGCTTCCTAGGGGCCTTGAAACTTACACTGTCTTTCAGGTAAATAAAGCGAAGCTTAGTGCTGGGCACCTTGATCCTGGGTTCTCATAACTGTGGTCTTAACCATGCCTTGTTATTTTTAACTCAACAGGAAACAGAAATAGGTTTGGGAGTGTATATATTTTTGTGATTCAACAAAATAAAGTAACAGCTTACTATTAGCTGGCTAATACTATGGTAAGCAGACATTAAGATGCGATTTTAAAATAGTTCAGACACTGGAAGTTATCTGAATGCTGAGTGTGCAGCTAGCGTGGTGCTGTGAGCCGGGCAGAAGGGATTAGCTTCTGTGGAATTCTTTGTCACCCCTGGCAGCTGCCTTGATACGAGGTAAAAGAAGCTGTGTTCTTTGCGTGTCTGGTTCTGAGTTGGTATTCATTTTGTAGCAGCAAAAATGCTGATGTGGGTGTCTGGATTTTCTCGCCTAGTTCAAAAATCTTGTTTAATACGTGGTGCTGTTGAGATCACTCCTCAGTGAAACACTACTTTAGATTTATATATTTTAGTGACCTTAGAATTGAAATCTGGGGCAAGTCTCTCATACTTAATAACCAAAGTTATTTATAATTACAATATTGAAGAAAATGTTTCCTGAGTTCAAGGCAACCTCATTCTTGGTAAATTTTCTGAACTGTAAACTCTAAGTTCCCAATTGGTTGTGGCAGACTTCTAACATTGATTTAAGTATGCATTTAGAATTAGATATAAATGGACCCAGTATTTACAATTTCAGCACAAATTAACATATTTAAGTTGGATTAGGACTCAATGTTAAAATGTTAATTTTTTACTTTCACTCACTGTTCATTTTTTGTTGATGCTAAGGTGTTAGGTCATTGTAGGCAGTGATAGTTAATATTAAAATGATAGTAATTATAACTTACCTTTTATTTGTTTTCAGACAGTTCTTACTTTGTAATCCAGGCTGGCCTGAAATTTACAATCCTCCTGTCTCAACCTCCCAAGTGCTGAGGTTACAGGCATAAGATACTACCCCTGGCTATGAGTTAGGTTTAAATTACATTATTCTTGTAAGGAAGAAAATGTCTAAAAGCATGCAAATACTTTTGAATATTGAGTGCAAATTCAGTTCAGAATTTGGAAGCACTCAAGTGTCTTTAGTAATGGCTCTTTCCTGCCATCTAGTGGTAATATCAAGAAAGACAGTGGAGTGAAGTTTGGAGATCAGCATTAATCAGATAAAGTCCTAATGTAGAAATGATCCACAAAAAATGTATATATTAATTGCTCAGAAATTATAAGTGTAATAATTATGGTTCATAATCATATTTCATAAGTTTAAAAGTAAATATTAAAATTAACTGAAGCACTAAACCCCTGTTTCTGAGACAAAATGAGATTTTTAGAATCTACCTATTTTATTTCTGGCCCAGAACTGCTTAGTAAGCTTTGCAGATTTCTTAGCCTTTCAGTAATCCCGATAATAGTTTCCACAACTAATGGATTGTTGTGACTATTAAATGAAAACAACCATACAAAGTGCTTATCTGTATTTGTCACTATAGTTGTACACACTGTCAATTATTTGAAATGCATTTGTTGTTATTTCCATCTCTCTGTTGACAAAGCTGGACTCTGAGAGGACTGTGTTTCCCTAAGTTGCACTGTTACTCAATTATTAAATGGCAGAGTCAATGTCTGAAGCATGGTGGAATTCATGTTCTTAACCACCTTTGATATTACTCTCAATAAATGCAGTTTGACTACAATGCCAGAAAGAGTTAAAATGCCAGTTAAGCATTGTTATAACTGAAAATGAATTTTTATGCTAATTGGGATCTATGTCAGCTATAGATTATATTAATTATACCATTTAAATTTGTATTATATCTTTGAAAGATCTGACAATTTTCAAAGAAGTTATGCACAACTTCACAAAACGTGTTCACACATTGAGAATATAAGACTCTCTAGGCAGGGAGGGAGTCTTCCAAGTGATACAATTGGCTTCTTTTGTTTTCAAAGAAATGGCTCCTGGGAAACATTAAAATGAATGAATAACACCCATATACAAGTATATTTGTAATCTAGTCCTACCACGTTTGTACTTCTTGCCCCCATTGTTAGATTTCAACCGACAACTCAAAGCTTGAGTGAATTGTGTTATGAAGTAATTAATTGTAGTGGTAATTGATTTAGGGTCCAGGGGGGGAAAAAGAACATAGAATGATAAATGGTCAAAGATAACTAATATATCTGTTATCTACTCCTGTGATGAGTTAGCTTAAAATATTGAAAAATTCCTTCATGAGTAGGAAATATCAATGTGAGGCCTTGATAGTGTTTCCTAGTTATATGCTTTAATTCTTTCCTGAAGAAAATGGTTATTTATTTCTAATGAACTATTTATTCTCTACATGTAAATAACATTTGTGTGCATAAATCTCATTGTGACATATTCTAATAATCTAACTGATTCCCTATAAGTTCATGTTCAGAACAATGATTGTGTAGCTAACTTTTGTTTTGTTTAATTTCAAACAGCTTGAAATGATGCTGGAGCCCAAGGTCTGGAGAGAGGCTGCTACTCAGGTGTTCTTTGCCTTAGGTCTGGGATTTGGTGGAGTCATTGCCTTCTCAAGCTATAACAAGAGAGACAACAACTGCCACTTTGATGCTGTCCTGGTGTCTTTCATCAATTTTTTCACTTCCATCCTGGCGACACTGGTGGTGTTTGCAGTTCTGGGGTTCAAAGCAAATATCATAAATGAAAAATGCATCACACAGTATGCACTGTTAATTTCCACTAGCCTTTGACGATATGATTCTATATTATAGAATTGTAATATAGAGGGATCATTCTTATGCTGTTCTTATTTTCAGAAATTCTGAGATGATCATAAAGTTTTTGAGAATGGGAAACATTAGTCAGGACATGATTCCACATCACATCAATCTTTCAGCTGTTACTGCAGAAGATTATCATTTAGTTTATGACGTCATTCAGAAAGTGAAAGAAGAGGAGTTTGCTGTTCTTCACCTCAGCTCCTGTCAAATTGAAGATGAGCTAAATAAGGTTAGTAGCCATGGCTGAGCAGTCAAGCAGTTATCACCCAGTGAAAATGTGCTTTAGCAGAAGACTTCCTTTTAGGAAAGTGGGCTTTAAAGTGCCTGGGGAAGGTTGCACAATGTCAAAATTATAAAAAAATTCTTTATCTCAGAGAATATCTTGCTAAAAAAGATTTGCTTTACTTTTAAAAAAAGCAATCTCATGGAATCACACCAATTTAAAATCTCAATATAAGTTAATTTGCATCGTAGAATGAAGATTCCTCTGATATATTCTTTCATTATCATTTTGGGTAGAGCACCAAACTGTGGTTGTCAAGGAAATGCCCTTATCATCAGATCCAAGAATGCTTGGATTTGCTGGGGTTAATTAAAAGTCATTAGTCCAGATTATGTCCATCACTAAAACTCAGAGAGGAACATTAGATATAGAAAATATTAAGATGCAATTTTTTAAAGCCTGGGAATTGACTTTTTATAATCCAGTTTTATTTTTAGAAACTTTTAGCTGGAATTCACAAATTTCTTTTAACTTAAACCAGTTTATTACTCACGTATGTTTTCTTTATACCAGTTGACTAAGCTACTTTGCATACTAGGAATATTTGCTTATATATTTGTATTTATGTTTTTGTTACAATAAATCAGCATTTATATCCATGCATTTCAATAGAACTAAAAATTACTATATATTTTTTTAAAACAACATGTGAAATAATGAGCAGCACAATATAATTGTGTGTCATGTTTGGACATTCTGAACAGGGTTTTATTATTTGGTTACTCAGTGCTACTAAATTTGGGTCCTGAGAACTAGATCATGAGTTAGTGAATAGACGCTCATGTTAGCACATTTATTTCCAGTAGCCTCCAGCCATTATTGAGAGATACCTTCCTTTGCTACTAACACGTAGAGCCTCCACGCAGTGTTGCTTTTTCTTTTTTGTATTCTGCAGGCTGTTCAGGGGACTGGCTTGGCTTTCATCGCCTTTACAGAAGCCATGACACATTTCCCTGCATCTCCCTTTTGGTCAGTGATGTTTTTCCTCATGTTGATAAATCTGGGGCTTGGCAGCATGTTTGGAACCATTGAAGGGATCATCACTCCTATTGTGGACACCTTCAAAGTGAGAAAGGAAATTTTGACTGGTGAGATTTTATGTATTTGACTTTTTGAACTATAGACCATTCATTGTGTGTGAAACATTAGTGATTGAAATAGAAAAGCATTACCTTTTGTATTTTATTGATATTATATGATAACACATTATTATTTATAATAGTATGAGTATAGGTAATATTTTAACATACTCGTGTTTTTAGGATAAATCATATATGTAATATAAGTCATACTTAATTGCTTATGATAAACATTTATGTGGCTATTTGCTAATGGTAATTGCCAGTATGGTTAATGTGTCTAATCTACATGTAATTATTAAGGGACCAGTTCTGCATTAATTGACCTTGCACTTTAGGAATATAAAGCATATAAGAGAAATTAATGTAACAGATCCAAAACATAAATATGCCTCTTCTCCAAAAACAATAGTGTTCAGTCAGACTAGGTAGGTAAGGCTTGTATCATGTGCAATATGAATGTAGATTTTTAAAAAATATTTTATTTATTATTTTTATTTTATATGTATGAGTGTATTGCCTGAATGTAAGCACACCTGTGTCATGCAATGATTGCGGAGGTCAGAAGAGGGTTTCAGATGCCCTGGAACTAGAATTAGGACTGTTGTTAGCCACCATGTAGGTGCTAGTATCTGAACCCAGGTCCTCTGCAAGACTACCCAGTGCTCTTAACCTCTGAGCCCTCTTTCCAGACCCATGAATAGAGATTATATTGGAAATTTTCCATATAAGAATTTGGAAGAGGGGGCTGGAGAGATGGCTCAGTAGTTAAGAGCACTGCCTGCTCTTGCAGAGGACCTGGATGTCATTCCTAGCACCCACATGGCAGCTAACAACCCTCTGTGACTCCAGTTCTAAAGGAATCACACGCTTTCTTCTGACCTCCGTGGGCATTGCACGACATTGGTGCACTTAGACACATGCTGCAGTACACTCATTCACACAGAATAAATATCATAAACAAAATATTTAAATAAAAAATTCAGAAGAAGATAATTCATTTTATTATATGATAGACTGTTCAGAGAAAGAGATGTAAGCTGAAATGAAAAGGCAAAGTGGTTTCTCAGGAATCATGCCTTTAGAAAAAGTATAAATGAAGATAAAGAGAATAGTAAGGAAATCTAACCAGACCATCTCTTCCTGTAGGAAGTGGTTTTCAAAATCAAAGGTCCCAGTGCAATAAATAGATAAATAAAACTATAAAACAAAACAAAACAAAACAAAAAAACAGTCTTTGCTGACTCTCATTAAGAACAATACTGGTAAGTAATGTAGAACAAGATTATATGAAAAGATTGAAAGACACAAACTGGGCCATACTACATAAATTTCCTAAGACAGTTTCTTTCTGTCTCTTTGTCTTCATTTTGTAATATTTTATGCAGTAACACACAAATTTCCTGACAGTCTCTCTTTTTCTCTGTAATTACTTTGTAATACTTTATTTGTAAATAGCACAACTATATGAGTTTATCACAAGCTGCTTCAGGTATGTACAGTGTGTGTGTGTGTGTGTGTGTGCATACACAGGCTTGTTTATAAAGTATCCTTTTTAAAAAGCTTCATTTATTTGTTTTTTTTATTTTATGTGTATGAGTGGCATGCCTGCATAGTGCTCATAACACCTGAGCCATCTCTCCAGTCTTCTATAAAGTATCTTAATTTCAACAATTTGTTAATTATTTTGTCAGTTATTTGTATCAATAAATCACACTTGATAAACTTCTTTATCTTCTTTCCAAAAGGAGTTTCTATGTCTGAATAACACTGTTAATGTCCTGCTCCAAATATAAGATAAAGACATCTTTACATTAGTCCTTGTTGGACCTCTAGACTGAGATCACCCCATCCTGTAGCAAAGGCCTTGCAAAATAAAAAGTCATGGTGCAGAGGGAAAACCACAAGTTAATCTTTGTTGGCTTCCATTATAAGACTTGTTTGGAAAACACTCCCTTCCACCATGCCTTGTTTAGTGGATATTTATGCTTCACATCATCTGTGAACTCCATAAACTGTAGCTCATAACTATGTAACTATGATTAGGTTTTTTTTCCTTCTTCATTACAATAGGAGTTAGATAGGGAATCCTTTGTTATCTCTTCTCCTTTATAAGTTTGGCTGTCACAGCTGGGTCGTACTTTCCTATATTTGCCTTAGACACTGTGGTGATTGACAGCTGCAGAGGCTATGGAGTCAGGCCGATTTGGTGGAAGATACAAGGTCTATGAGTTTCTTTCTGAAACTTTGAGTACAAATACTTAGCCTCCTCATATTCATTGCTATCTCTTCTGCAGAATAAAGACAATAGATTATTTAATCAATATGCTACAAAAATTGGGGCTGGAGTGATGTGTTAGTGGTTAAGAGCATTGGCTGTTCTTTCAGAGGACCTGGGTTCAATTTCCAGCAACCACAGGCAGCTATCTACTGTCTGTAGCTACAGTTCCAGGGGATCCAATACCCTCTTCTGACCTCTGTGGGCATTGAACGACATGGGTGCACTTACACATGTGCAGGCAATACACTCATGCACATAAAATAAAAATAATAAAAACTTAAAAGAGATGCTTGAAATTTTTTGTGCACTGTGACAAGCATTTACATTTAGTGTACAGCAGACATGTAAGTTCATGCTGCTTTCCACTTTCTTCATTAAATGTATATACATGGTATGTTTTTCTGTATGCTGTAATTCATGCAGGAGCATAGTACTTACAAGGCAGATGCCATGTTTCAAGTAACCAACGTCTACTGATAATATTAAAGAAGCTTCATATGATTAGGTCCATGAATATCTACCTTTCCCTCCTTTTTGCTGTTGTCACTTACTTTGCTTCTTTTGATTTTACCTACCTGCATTAAAGGGGATTAGGAAATAGCATACCATAATTATTTAATTATTAATTTAGCTTATATGCAAATAAGCCTAAAATGACCACCTAAAAACATGTGGAAATGTTACATGGTTTCCAAAAGCAGTTGTAAGTTTTTTATATTTATATTACAAGTTAGTATTCAGAACTTTATGAATCTGTTTCTCAGAAATCACACAGGAAACAAGTTCTAGGTAGTTCTTTCTAGGTATTTCTTGGATAATTAGATTGCTTGACCTGTAATAATTACTTTCTGCACTCAAGCTATTCAGGTGAGATAAATATGTCTTAAATATGCATTGGTGTTCAGCCTTTTTGTGACTGGAATTTTTCTATCATGCTTTAATGATAATCATATTTCCATTAAACATCAAAGTATATAAGTTTTATAATCCCATTGTAATCTATAATAGACTAATTATTGTTTATTCAAAATCTCTTAAGTATTTCAAAACTATAAATGCTTTAAAGGTAGAAATCACCTGTTAGTATGTACTGCCTAGAAAGTCATGCTTCTATTAATAATAGAATTGGGCATTTAAATTTAGATATTTTAAACTTTCACACAATATTGCCTCATTTATTATTTGTACTTGGTAGATGAGAATTTCCATAGATTTGAGAAATGAGTTGCCATTATGGTGAATTTAGCTGAGGTTATTGCCATGTAACCTAACTCCCAACATGTGATTTTCCACACAGTCATAGAACAGACAACCTGCAAAAAATTAGAAAAGTTGAAAACTTTTGTTTGGATGCAGTAATTCATAATGAAGTTGAAAAGTCTTGACTTTGCAGAAAGACTCATTTTTATTTATTATTTTTTCCTAGTTTTCTGTTGCCTTCTGGCATTTTGTATCGGCCTGATATTTGTGCAGCGCTCTGGAAATTACTTCGTTACGATGTTTGATGATTATTCTGCTACGTTGCCTCTTCTAATTGTAGTCATCTTGGAGAATATTGCTGTAAGCTTTGTTTATGGGATAGATAAGTAAGTATACTTGATTGCATATACTTTTTCCCAGCTCTGTTTTGAAAAACCTAATTATCAATATTTCACTTGAGAGGGGAGAGAAATAAAAAGGGTAAAATTTTCACCAAGTCAAATATTTGTAGACTATTATTGACTCACAATCTACTGAAGAATATTCCCTCAGAATATGAGTGGTGAGAATTGCCAGTACATAACATTGTCTACAGTTGTGAGCTTTGGTTTAATTGTGATTACCAAAGAGGAAATTCCAAGATCAATGAGAATTAGCCATGTTCCAAAAGCTCAGAGTGTCTTTAAATCATTATTGTTGCCAAAATTTCACGTATGGGAAAAGTTAGAGAAACAGGAAGGACCTTGCTCATCATATTCCTGAACAGCAGCAGACCTGTAATTTATACCATTTTCTACTTTAAAACCTATCTCTGGTTGTTTTCCTACATTGTTTATGGGGGGGAGAGGGAGGAAGGGAGAGAGAGAGAGATTGAGAATGTCTCTGTGTTAGTACCTTAAATATTAGAAAGATCTGAGAAGATGGTCTGTTCTGAAATACATTTATCATTTGTTGCACACCCACATTTCATAGAGAAACACTTGAGTTCACTACAAGTCTAAACCTCTTTTACATACCTTTTTGATGTGAAAAGGATATATTTGATGTGAAATGAAATATTAAACTCATTTTAGTGGTTAAAGAAATTTGAAGTATTTCTCAACTATATGGAGGTCTTTGTCTCCAACTGACACATATAGATTGAGTTATAAGATCATGAATCTGAGAAGAGCCTTGTGTAAAGTGGGATTTGAGTGAATGCTAGATGAGTGACATAAAGAACATTATTGGTACTGAATGAGTATTTTGACAAAGCTGAGAGTAGTTTTTAATTGCCAAAGATTCCAATTCATGAAAAATAGGAAATTGCACTTGATAATCATGTCTTACATAGCCATCAAAAGGAACAGTAGAGGTATCATACATAAATGAAGTCTTATTCTTTGTTTGTAGATGAAAAATTGTTCAATTTAATCATGGAATTGCACAGAAATTAAGGGGGATAAAGAGATGGCTAGTGGGTAAGGACTGGAGTGCAGATTCCCAGAGTCTATGTGAAGAAAGCTGGTTGAGCTTGGTGGCCTCCTTGTAATTCCAACACTCTGGAAGCAGAAGCAGGAAATCTTCAGAGTAAGCTTGCTAACCAAACTATCAAAAAGGGAGAGGCCCAGGCTCAGTGAAAGATGCTGCCTGGAAAGATGACATGGAAAGTGATTGAGAAAGACACCTAATGTCAATCCTGGGCCTCCAGACACACACGCACATACACATATATGCCCACTCATATGCAAACACATACATCACACATGCATATATACATTCACATGAAAAGGAAATGAAAATTAAGCTAGAAATGAGATAGCACTACATACCTACTAGAAAGCCAACGTCCAGAACACTAACAATACAAAGTATTACTGAGAATGTAAAATAAAAAATATCTTCTTTTATAGTTGATGGGGTTATGAAATAGTGTAGCTGCCCTAAAAGGCAGTTTGTACTTTCTGACCATATGTAGTTTCTGACTCTTATGAAATGGCATATCAAATGCATATTTGATATCTACTCAAAAAGTTGAAAATATATGTTCAGGTAAAGTCCTGTATATAAATGCTTATAGAAGCTTTATATGTACATTTATACATGTATGTATGTATGTATGTACGTATGCATCTATATATATGTAACAATAAAATTGAGAGGGAGTGCAGGAACACTGGAGGAGATGGAGGGATACTGGGAGGGGTGGAAATAATGTAAATACAACAGTCATGTATGAAACACTTAAAACAATTTAAAATTTTTAAGAGATTTTAAAAGACAACAAATCTTGGCAGGAGCCTATCAGTAGATGAATGGATAGCTAAATTATAGCACATCCAGAAAAATCAAATATTATTCACTGTTAAAGATAAATTACCAAACATGCCATGAAAAGACCATAGGAAATGTGCATACTAAGGAACAGAAGCCATATTTGACAAGGCTACATCCTGTTTGATTTAAACTACATTACAGTCGATAAAGATAGAATAAAGATCAATGCTTGACAGGAGTTGGGGAAAGGGAGGATACATATTTGAGTCCAGGGATTTTTTAGATTGGAGACACTACTCTGTTATAATAGTGTATAGATAGATGTTGGTATAATTTTGTGCAAACCCATATAATGCATAACACCAAGAGTGAATCCTTATATAAGCTATGGACCACAGATGATAATGACATGTAAGTAGATGTTCATCAATTGTAACATATGCAACTCTGGTATAAGATGTGGATAATTGGGGTCACGGTGCATGTGTTGGTGCATCATACAGATATATGAAAATCTGTAGCTTCAGATCAGGTTTTCTGTGATCCTAAAATTGCTCTATAAAATAGTATGTATGAAGAAATATTCTCTGGTAATTAACATTACATACATTTTCCAAATGGGAACTTGTTCTTTCCTTTATAGGAAAACACAGTATGTTATTTGGAGAGCTAGAATGTTGACCTGGATATGGATTCCAAGCCAATTTTCCCTATATTCTACCAGACAACTTCTAACTATTACAAAATTTGATATTGCTGGCAGAATTCTTTGTCAATAAATAAGTTAACAATTTAGATTCTCATTTAATCTAAATTCACTGTTTGCACTAGGCATGCTAGAGATCACCTCTTTTTATAGTAGTGTTCTTGAACAGTAGTAGTTATAAAGCAGGAAGAGAAGTAGAGCGGATGATAGATGCATCTGTCAAAGTCCTGTTGTGCCCGAGTTAGTATGTTCTGCATACATCATTCATTATTTTAACCATAATTTCAGAAGGTAGATACATAACACTTTTTTGAAAATGTCAAAAATGAAGTTCAGAGAGATTAAGATGTTAAAAGATTGCAGAAAAATTCCTGACTTGAAATAAGTTTTGTTTGTTGTGAAGGTCATGTTTTATCCTGGAGTCTGGAACACATTTCTCACACAAGGATTCTCTCCTTTAATTTTTCTCCTTTTAGATCTCAGAGCATCTTTGTATGCTTCCTGTATTAGTCAGGGGTCTCTGGAGGAGCAGAATTGATAAAATCCACTTACTTTGAAGTAGTAGCATCATCTTAATCACACCTGAGGAGTGAGGGGTTTCTGGGTCCTTGAGGTGGGTGCCTCAGCGGTTAGAGTGGTCCCACAGTAGCTGTCTCACACTGAAGAGACTCAGAACCCAGTAGCTGCTCAGAATACAATGTACAGGGCTGGGTTCTTCAACAGTCACAATCTGACACTGAAAAATGGCAGGGTTCCTGGAGAACTGCTTGCCCTTAGTCAGTGGTGGAAGTCGGAAAACAGTAGTAATGCCATTATGGTAGTCAGCCACAGAAACAACAGAATAAATGAACTCTACTGCAAGAGGGAAGACCAAACAAGTAAAAGGAACACAATCTTCCTTCCGCCATGCTCTTTTTTATCTGGGCTCCTACTGGAAGGTGCTGTCCACATTCAGGGTGGGTCTTCCAATGTCAATTATAGGAATTAAGACAAGTTCTCCATTGATGCTCCCTACTCAGTGATTCTGATTTGTGTCAAGTGGGCAATAAAACCAATCATCACACAATCTAATCAGCTCCTATTCATGATTTCATGGGCAAATATCCTGGTACACAGTTTCTTGCATTTACATCAATGCAGTTGGAACAAAGTAGGCAATAGAAAATGGGCAATCTAAATCTAACTTTTTGAGATAACAGTTTAGTGCAGAAAAAGAAAATACTGAAACATGACAACTTAGTGATTATGAGGAAATATGAATAAAAAATGAAAAACAATTCTGGAAAGCTGGAAATGATAGCAGCATTTTTTTTCTCTTTAGTGGTTATAATAGTAAAACCAAAGTCTCACAAACATTGCCACAAAAATACTCCCATAAACTTTATGAAAAGGTAACAATAAACCACTGACCTGTGTTTTTGTGGTGTGACATATGTGGGTGGTTGGGAGGAGGGAGGCAACTGAGGGCATGCGGCTGGGTTTCTGGCATCTTCCTGAACATCTTTAGCTCATTACATCAAAGGGTTTCATGCCATTCTGAAGTCATGGCCTAACCTAAGATGAATTTTTTGAGTCTTTCCCTCACTGTAAGGACACCAAGATATCAAACCTCAGCAAAATCATCAATGGTAGAGCGATGCTGTCTCTGAAAACTTCTGAGACTAGCAAAAAAAAAAAAAAAAAAAAAAAAAAAAAAAAAAAAAAAACTATTTTCAAAAAAAAAAAAAAAAAAAAAAAAAAAAAAAAAAAAAAGCTCAGTTCTAAGACCAAGCTCTATGATGAAGAGAAAATAATGACAGGGAAAAATGTTAATTAGCAAGATAAGGGTAATCAGGGCCAGTGCATAAGGAAAGAGCAGATAAATGTGGCAAGTAGAGCAGAGGCAGTAGACACAACACATTAGGAGGTGTGCTCAGTCCTCCCTCCTGAAAAATTCAAGAAAACTAATTTCATTTAAATGTAGTCAAGTCTTAAGGAAAGTTAGTTATTTCAAGAAAAGGAAAAGGATGGAAGGAGAAGAATAATATCATTGCAGAAAAATACTCAAGCCAAACAATGAAAAACGAAAAATATTTTGCAATACACACAAGTAATTTTTAAGAACTGATGGATGCTACAAAAGGACAGAACATTAGAATTATTTAAAAATATAAAAATGTGACAATAAGAGAAAAGTTATATTTGAAAACAGAACTCAGGAAGTAATTTTGCATGAAATGTAAATATGTCAGAAATGAAGTCTAAGATAAATGACACAAAGCTGCGAGCATAGTGGTTAATTATGTGACAGTCAGGAGTAGAAAGGAGTTTTTAAAACAAGTTGAAATAAGAATGATTTAAGAAAAGGAATAGGAACAGAAGTTAAGGGAGAGTTAAAGTATATATTTAAAAGCAGTGGCTAGAACAAATATAGAAACTATAATTCATGAAACTGTCCTGAACTAAGTGCTGAGAATGCTGAAAGGCACACAGTTTTTGAAAACTAGACAAAATAGTCTATTCAAGATAGCATGGTTATTAATTAAAGAAAAGTAATAGACTATCATAAAAATAAAACATTTTGATAAAACAAAGTGATTTCTAAATGAAAACTCTGTCAACAGATACATTTTAGAACAATATGTTGATAGATATATTTATGATAAGGGAAATAAAATATATTAAACTTTAGCTAAACTGACATTCAAGTATAGTGAGTGCAAACAATTACAGATGTGTAAAACCTTAGGAAAAATTGTTCAGGTTTCATCGAAGAATTGACCTTACTAGAGTGCTAGTTAGAGTCCTAGAAAGTCTGTAAAAATATTAGTACAAGAACTGGTGGATGAACAGTAAGATTTGCTTTCTTTATTTTTGCAGTACACTTTCATTTCCTTTACGTGGAGGTGAGGGGCAGTGCATGCATGCTACATCATGCCTCTCGGGGCCAGAAGACAGCTTGCAAAAGTCAGAGCTCTTCTTCCACTAAGTGGGTTTTCAGGACCTACCTTGGGTTCTCGGGCTTGGTGGCAAGTGCATTTACCCTAAGAGCTATTTCCCTGGCCCCAAGATTGGCTTGTAGATAAACACAAAAATAACTGTGTTGCAATGGCTATATTCCCTGACATTTTGACACTGTATACCTAAGGAAATGATTTTCAGTTCTTATAAATTATACATCAATAACTAGATTTCAAAAGGTCCAACATGAGTATAATCAGATTCTAGATCTATGTCAAATTCATGAGTAATGAGGTTGGGGGGGCCAGTCAGATGTACGAGTGAACAACATGATGGAGTTGCCATCAGCTAGTTGAGACTGGGATCTACAGGACAAAGTACTGAACTGATCCAAAACCTTGGAAAAAAAAATACAGGAGAGGGCTGTGGAAATTAAGATTGGCTTGAGAAACATCAACAAGGTACAAAATCTGAACCTTCTTTCAATTATAATACTACTGGACAAAGAAGTGAGCATTCTAAAAGTATAAACTCCTATTAGTGATATTTAATGACAGTAAAGAATCATTATTTTTATATGATAAAAGGATGTTTTTAACACAACTAAAAACATTGCATGCATGAAATGGGAAGTTATCTTTAGGAGACTTTTAGTAATTAGTTTAAGAGGATTTACACCACATAAAATTATAGTAGTTTCATTTTACCTCGTAAACATTTCTTAATGTATAAGCCCATTATGAATTTATGTGTATCTGTGTACATGCATGTATGCAGGTGTGCTTGCTCTTTCATGAGCCTGTGGAGGACAGAGGTTGATGTTGGGGTGTCTTTCAATCAGCTTGGAGCTCACTATATTAGCTAGAATGACTGTCCAGTAAACCCCTGTGATTGGGCTGTATCCACTCTCCTACTACAGAAGTTTCAGTTGCGTGCCGCTGTGCTTAGGCATTTTATATGGGTCCTGGGATCTCAAGCAGGCCATCATGCTTGCATGGCAGGCACATTGCCCACAGAACTGCCTCTCTATCCTTTCTATTTTTCACCAGTACAAAATAACAAGGTATTCAAAGTAGATATCAGTCAAAGCATTGATGCAAGGTAGCAATCGGAGATTGAAGAATAATTAAATATTTTCTTTGTATTCAGGTTTATAGAAGACCTAAAGGATATGTTGGGCTTTGCTCCAAGTAGATATTACTATTACATGTGGAAATACATTTCTCCTTTAATGCTACTGACATTGCTGATAGCAAGCATTGTGAATATGGGATTAAGCCCACCTGGCTATAGTGCATGGATTGAAGAAAAGGTAAAATACAAAATAAGGAAGTTAAATTTTTACAAGTATAAAATGACAACTTAGAAAATTTTGTCTTTTGTTTTCTTTGAATCATATTTTGATTTTGTTTAGGGATATTAGGATTTATGATTTTTGCCCCTCCCCCACACTGTGATTCTTTTCTGAATGCACAGTGAACTTCTTTAGCAAATTGGACTTGTAAGCATTGAACTTATTAAACCAGATATTTTCATCTTATCATTGGAATAATGGTGGCTTCTGGACCTTTGACTCTAGAAAACATAACGAACCTCTGGAAGTCTTTTTCTATAGAAATTTATGAAATTATGTTTCAACTGATACATAACAATGAAAATATGCATCAATGATATAAATACAATTTAAGTAGAATTTGAAGCCATGTTTATGATAACTTCTATTAGCAATGGCTATCTGAATATCTGTTTTCAAGTGGCACAAGCCACACACTAACATCAACATGAGATACAGATTTGTTGGTATAAAATCTGCTTGCTTATTTTAACTGTATGGTCATTAATCCTACATTCTACATGATAACAACAAAGCCACAATAGAGACACAGACAATCCTGTCATCTTTATCAAGACCCTCAGGACCAGATGTCCTGCAAAGTTTAGGTCTTCAGGTTTTTCAAAGATAATACAGCATGTGTAGCAAGTGTCTATTGCTTTGTAATAGAATACCTCAAAACTTAATGACTTCAAGTTATGCTCTTTAAAAATATTTTTGTTAATTATTTAAAAGTTTCATACTGTTTTTAATCATATTCACCCACAACTCCTCATTTTAACTCCTCTCAGATCCACCCCCACCTCCCTTACTTTCCTCAACCCCATGCCCTCTTTTTTTAAAAAAATTAGTAAACTATTTCCTACAGTTTCTGTTGTCCATGTATTTCTGAGTGTAGGACCATTCACTAGAGTGTAGTCAATATACCACAATCCACGCCTTTAAAGAAAAGACTCTCCCGCTGCCAGAAGCCATCAACTGCCCATAGCTCCTCAAGGGTGGGGGCTTTTTGGAGTCCTTCTCATTCTATGCTAGAACATTGGCTGGCTTGATCTTATGCAGGTATTGTACAGGCAGCCACAGATGCTGTGAGTTCATGAGCACAGTGGCCTTGCCGTGTTTAGAATTCACTTTTCAATGCTGGTCCTTTCCAACCTCTGGCTCTTACAATCCCCCTCCCCACCTCTGCTCACTGAATCTTGGTGTGTCACCAAGACTTGATGGAGAGAGTATGATGTACAAGTCCCATTTGTGGCTGAGCACTCCACAATCACTTATTCTCTGCACTTTTACCATGTGAGTTTCTGCATTAACCACCCTTTACTGAACAAACATTTCATTGATATGGTCTGAGAGCTCCACTAATCTATGAGTCTCCACTCATAGATTGAGTTTAGAGGGCAGTTTGATACTATGCCTATTTATCCGAATAATACTAGTAAATTTGCCTTTGGAGCTTTTCCAGATTTGCTGTACCAGGCATACCATGTTTCCCTAATTTTTTTTGCGGGGGGGAGGTAAACTTGGCAGTTTTGTCTTGCCTGGCTTACTTGGCCAAATCTGTCACTTTTTGATACCCTGACTACTACAATTACTTCTCTCTCTCTCTCTCTCTCTCTCTCTCTCTCTTTCTCTCTCCTTTCATTCCTGGTTCTCCCAAGCATCATGAGATCAGGGCAGAATTCTAAGAAATGAAAATGAAAACAACTGTTTAATCCTGGAATTTGCTGAATGTCACGTCTATTGCTTTTTGCTTGTCAGAGAAAGTCACACAGTCTATATTTGTTGACATACAAATCTGAGACCAATGAAACACTTTCATATGTGCACATAGAAAGATTATAAACAAGCATTATTTTTTTTTTTGGCTTTACCAGGCATCTGAAGAATTTCTGAGCTACCCTACATGGGGGATGGCTGTCTGTTTCTCTCTGATGGCTCTTGCAATACTTCCTGTCCCAGTTGTCTTCATTATTCGTCGCTGCAACCTCATAGATGATAGTTCTGGTAATTTAGCATCGGTGACATATAAGAGAGGCAGAGTCTTGAAGGAGCCTGTAAACTTAGAAGGAGATGATGCAAGCCTCATCCATGGAAAGATAGCAAGCGAAATGTCATCTCCAAATTTTGGTAAAAATATTTATCGAAAACAGAGTGGATCACCCACGCTGGACACTGCTCCCAATGGACGTTATGGGATTGGGTATTTAATGGCAGATATGCCAGATATGCCAGAGTCTGACTTGTAGCTGGGGCAAAAGTAGTGGTTATAACTGGTTCATTTTTTATCAGTGAACAATGGTTCTACTATGCAAAGCATTGGGCTTCACTTATCAGAGGGCGATCTCAGGTGTTCCATGGCTGTGATCTCTAATCCTGAAAGTTTAAGTCAATTCAACTAGAGCATTCTTTTGAATTCCTTGGTTTACATTTACCCAGAAAAGATAATGGACAAAGTCTATAGTAACTGGGGTCATGTGTGTCAAGATTTTTTTAAGTACTCACGGTGTATTTTCAAGAATTTCTATTGTTTCAAAACAAAACAAAACAAAACAGGTGTTACCTCAGTTTCTAATAATTTCTGAATTTAATGTCATTGGCAATTCAAAAAGTGATATATCTTACAATTTATAGGTTCGCCTTCAGAGTCGATCCCAGTACTACTATGAGCAGTTGTGTGAGCCAGGGCCTCTCAGCGCATTTCCCAAGAACATATTGTGTATCTAGGCTGTACTTATTTTGGTAGCATTGAAATCTTAGGCACTTAGTTGAAGAAGATTGAGAAGTATTTTCTTATGTCACAGCTACATAGGGCAATATTATGGAAGAGTAAGAGGGCACCAATGCTGGGGTGAAAGTGACACTCAGAGGTGGCTGAGGACCATGAGCTGATGGCTGTATATTTTGTGTAAAATAAGTATGTGAAAATGACCTAAGAATGAGTGGCTCTGCACTCTCCAGAATTATGCAGACTCTGCATCTTTCTTATGCCGTGTGCCTAAAAATCTCCTTAATATTTATTGTGGTTTTCAGATTACTCATAGTATATTTATATAATATACTTGCAGTGTATATAGATGCACATCAGTACTTTAAGTACTGATTTGAAAACCTGAAGCAAGATGGCATTTTATTTCGTATATTTCTCTTTTGCTTCTGTTTTATGCAAATATAAATCCTTTTCTAAGTGATTGTTAAAACTGTATGGCATTAAATTTTAACCTACAAATAAAATTTTAAAAATGGTGTTTGTTTCCCACATTGATTTTCATTGAGTCACCTGAATTGGATTATTTTTCTTTTACCACCTGAGCAAGATTAGCTTACATTTTAGCCAACACAGGCATTTCATAATAATCATCGCATTCCATGTAGGATTAATAGATTAATGGGGCTGCAACCACTTTAGAGAGAAGAGAACAACAGAGTGTAATAACTGAATGGTGTTTTAATGTAGTCTCAAAATACTGAAAAATACATTCAGCTCCTAGTAAACCTTGTATGCATTGAGTGTTTGCCTCAAATGTCTATATGACATCAGCTGAAGCAGAGGAAATGAGCATAAAATAACTTTCTAATGTATAATAAAATACTATTAATCATAATCCCTTTCATTTTCCTCCCTCTTGTCTTCCTCCAGCCACACCTCCTCTGTTCTATCTCCCTCCCTCCCTCCCTTTTTCCTTTCCTTCATTTATTTTTCTACAAGATACTGGAGACAGCACCTGTATAAACTAGGCAAGTGCCCTACCACTGAGCTGTAGTACATGTCCAGTTCTAGTAACTATAATACCCATGCTTTATATTAGTACTACCCTTCGTATGCATATGTATTCAGTCCCATATACATTCATGCTTTGGAGGGCACATAATTGGCTTCTGTATCCTTGCTCTTTTGAAAGATGCTGCAATGAACAGGGAGCTCTGCGAGTGCTGATTTCATTTCTTTTTGGTAAAGCTGATGGTTTAGAATCCTACATTGTATGGGGAAATAGATCTCCACCTTGTGTTCAAAGAGTATTAAGAAAATGCAATAAATACACAAATTATAACTTAATGAATATTTGCATTACTCCTAGATCTAAGTCAAGGCGCCATGATAACTAGATTGCAAATGCATCCATCTTATCTTCATTTGCTCCTCCTCCCCATTGGCAATGAGACCTTTCTTTTCTTTTCTTTTCTTTCTATTTATTTATTTATTTATTTATTTATTATTTACTTATTGGTCTGGTACTGGTTAGTTTTTGTTAACTTGACACAAGCTAGAGACACTTGGAAAGAGTGAACTGTAACTGAGGAATTCCTTCCATCAGATTGGCCTGTAGGCCATTTTCTTGATTGCTAATTGATGTGGGAGTTTTCATCCCACTGTGACTAATGCCATCCCTAGGCAGTGGGGCTCTATAAGAAAGGGAGCTGAACAAGGCAGGGTTAGTAAGCCAGTAAGCAGCATTCCTCCCAGATCTCTGCTTCAGTTCTTCCAGGTTCATGCCTTGTGCTCCTGCCTCAGCTTCCCTCGATGATGGACCATAAAGTGTGAGATAAAATGAATCTTTTCTTCCCCCAAGTTGTTTTTGATCAGTGTTTTATCACAGCAGCAGAAAGCTAAGTAGAGCATGTTCTTTCCCAGGTACTAAGGTAATTAATAAAAAAATGGTAATTTATTGTCTAAAGTTTGAAGGTAATTGTATATCTATACTACTTCAAGTGTTGACTTAAATTTATACCTAGATGTGGCATAACCAAAGAATGTGTCTATGTAATTTTAAAGCAGGCTGACAATTGGTAGCATCACTAATGTAATTCTGAGGATGAAGTGAAGATGTGATGGAGGAAATATTCTCTAGGCAGTGTTAGAGTCCCAGGAAAGGAGACAGTATCAATACAGTGGAGTGATGGGGAATAGTTCACAAAAGTCTGTTTTTCTTTTCTATGTGTTTGTGCATTTTATAATTTTCCTTATTTATGTAGAATTAGTTTTCATAAAGCTTACTCTGTGTGTATATTTGTGGCATATATATCTGTTCATGTGAGTATACATGAACCAGTGTATACATATACCAGTGTGCATGCCCACATGGCATGCCTGTGTGGTTTGAGATCAATGCCGCATATGTTTCTGGATTACTGTCCACCTGCTTTTTGAGACACAGTCTCCCTGAAGTTGGAGCTTAGTGTTTCAGTTACTCTGTCAGGGCACTGAACTCCAAGAACACATCTGTCTCTGAGCCCTCTCCTTCCAGCACTGGGGTTACAGACTCATGGTACCATACTTGGTTTTGATATGGATGCTGGGGATCCATACTCAGGTCTTCATGAGTGTACAGGAGGCATTTTATAGAGCTATTTTTCCAGGCCTTTGAAACTTTATTTTAACTGCCACATAGTGATCATAATCATAAGTATTTAGAGTGTACAGTATGATGGCTAGATGCAATGTATAATAATCAAATGAGGGTAATCAGCTTTTCAAACTCCTTAACATCTACCATTTCTTTGTATTTGTAGCTTACAAATCTCCATTTTTTAGTTCTGCATAAAATATAAAATAGATCATAAACAACCATCTTTCTGGGCTATAGAAGGCTAGAATTTATTCCACATATTTGTCTATTATTTTGGTTCTGTTCACCACCTGCTTCTGTTTCTACTCCCCATATCCTGCCCCACCTTGAATTTATTATTCTATTCTACAGCTTCCAAATATGGATAAAAACACTTTGTGTGCATTTATTTGTAAAAGTTGCTTTCTTCCTTCAGCCGATAAGCATATATTCAGACCAAGCATAGAGCTTCTAAACTGTAATCATACTTTGAAGTCACATGTGCCTTGAAAGCTGTATTTCTGTTCTAATGAAGTGTAATCATTTGGGGGGATAGGTTTAGGTGTGGAACATAAGTATTTTTAAAATCTTCAGTTATCATGTTGTGCATTCTTGGCTAGGAATTAAAATAAAAATTAAAACAATTATAAAATTTAATCTTGTCTTTTTCAAGCAAAATGCCAACACTGTAACTGTGATAAATGGAGCAAAATGTTTTGATGGGTAGATGTTGAGATTAATTACAAGTAATAATAATAATAACTTTAAACTGTGCTTTTCTACTTTTAAGGTGATTCTGTGGTCATTTTGTTTCATGCATCTGTTGGATAAGAATGAGTAGAATGATAGAATTTAAATGGAAGAAGTTACGTGGATGATATAAAAAATTTGTTTGAAAATTTTGGGGGCATGGGGATTTCAGCAAAAAAAGGCATAGTAAAACTATAAAACCCTAGGCATATATTTGAAAATTAAAAGAACATATACCATACTAGATTTATTAATTTAAAAAAATTTTCCCCTCTCACTTTTAAGAATAGTATTAGGCTTTCCTCTAGGGCCTGTGACCTGTCTCTCACAGGTTCCTAGGCCTGATATCAATGTCAGTTATGGGATCCATCTTATTAAAAAGTAGATTTTAAATCCAATGAGAAAGAAATTGGTTATGGCCATAATATTCATGCCACTATTTAACCAGTGGGCATCTTTCCAGGCCAACTGTTGTAGCTCACAGGATTCATAGATGGTCAAGGATGATGATTACTTTTCTCTTCTGGTAGCATGCATGGCACCTAACCACACTGTGAAAGCTAGCCAGTAGAGAAGAAGCTGTGGAGCTTGTTTGTTCTACAGCTCATCTAAGTAGTGTCTATAGCAATAGGGTCTTACTATCATATTCTGGTGGGTAAAGAAGAACAGGGTGAGGTCCAAACACCTGTCCTACTTCCTATAGATCAAGGTGCTTGTCCCACCTAGTGCAGTAACCAGGTAAGGTGAGGCAAGTTCCACTGGTGACAGTTTGGTTGGGGGTAATCTGGGATCGAAGCTTCCTCTGTACTGGCCACACCTCCTGCTGCCACCAGTGCAGCCAGTGGGACCTGTGAGACTGAGATGAAGCCAGGGGTCCTTAAGGCCAGGGGATTATTGCAGGCTCATTTACACAGAAGTGGGGAACAATGGTAGAGAAGAACGGGCCCCCAAACCAAGAGCCCAAGGGAGGGATGAAGAAGGACAGGTTGCAGCTATGTGGGATGTGAGCCTTGTGAGAAGAGAACAAGTATGCACCTGGGGAGGGCACCAGACTAAGCAAAACCTCCCCATGGAGGATGCAGGAGGTGCAACAGAGCTAGAAGCAGGTGCTGTGGTGTGGTAGGAACAGGTATGGGCCTGGGAACAGAGAGTCCAGGTAGGTCCAGGAGTAAAGTGATCTCTGCCTGCCAGGGAGCATGTCACTGTTCCTGCCCAAGGACTCCTGTGAGATGCCTTCCTCTTCCTCCAGTTTTTTATTATATTTTATTTTTAAGTCTGCTCCTTGGTTTCCTCCATGGAGGTAGTTTTCTATATGGTAGTCTTTTTCTCTCTCTTTGGCCCCAGTCTCTTCTGTGATGGCACTTCGCTGGGCCCCTTAGAAGGCTGCTTGAGCAGTCTGCTGCTGCCAGGACTTGCTTCTCAGACCTGCCCTTTTCTCGCTTGCTGCCAGGACTTGCTTCTCAGACCTGCCCTTTTCTCGCTTGGAGGCCAAGGGTTGGCTGGACTTTGAACTCATCTCATTCATCTTGCCTTCTCAATGGAGTGGTGGAGTGAAGGCTTGGTTGTTGCTTGGAGCCATGCCACAGCCAGAAACAGCCAGAGCTCAGAGTCCCATTTAGACTACTCTTTTTAGGTGTTGTTCTTGGTTTTCCAAAGCCTTTATGTGCATCATTAATTTATTTATATGAGATGTTTCTAATTTTCTGGTTGTTCAAGTTTGTTTTCAATTGTTGTAATGAAAGCACAGATCAATAACAACTTGGGGAGGAAACAGTTTATTTGGCTTGCAAGACATCATCAAGGGAACCCAAGGTAGGAATTCAGAGTAGGAACCTGGAGGCAGGAGCTGAAGCACAGGCCATGGAGGAATGCTGCTTACTGGCTTGCTCCCCTGGCCCCTGCTCAGCCTGCTTTCTTATTCAATACAGGACCACCTGCTCAGGGATGGCACCACCCTCAGTGTGCTAGTCCCTCCTACATCATTCATCAATCGAGAGAATGCCCCATAGACATGGCCATATGTCAGTGCAATGTCGATAATTCCCCAGTTAAGGCTCCCTCAACCCAGGCTTCTCAAGTTGACAACTACCACTATCCAACCCAAAGGTGTAGGAATTTAATGATAGAAATTTTTCTTTAGGACTGCTTTCATTGTGCCCCATAGATTTT